TACGGTGCTGAGAGAGGGACAGGTTGGCAGCGGGGGAGCAGCACAGAACCAGACAAGTCAGGGAGTGGTGAGATAAAAGATGATTTAGGTTTCTGTGTGAAGACTGCAATTTAGCTTCAAGTGATTGTGATTTCTTTTTTCTTTTCTTTTTTTTTTTTTTTTTTTTTTAATCTACACTCCCTCTAAAACTGGTTCAGCTGAATGGGCAAGTATGTGATTTTAATGAGATTCCTGAAATCTTAGGAAGAACTATGGTTAAAACCAAGCCAGGCTGCCAGAAGCAGATGTATAGCAGGATGTTATGATACATCTCTTGGTGCTGTCAACAGCAGGCCCATGGCACAGAACCAAAGGGCAGGGATTCCCTTTCGAGCAGCACATGGAAACCCTCCTTCCCGGGTGTGCTCATTTTGGCTGGAGTGGAGTTAATTTTCATCACAGTAGCTGGTATGGGGCTGTGTTTTGGATTTGTGCTGAAAACAGTGTTGGTAACTCAGGGATGTTTTGGTTATTGCTGAGCAGGTTTCCACAGAGTCAAGGCCTTCTCTGCCTCTCACCCCACATAGGCTGGGGGTACACAAGGAGTTGGGAGGGGACAAAGCCAGGACAGCTGATCCCAAATGACCCAAGGGATACCCCAGACCATATGATGTTGTGCTCAGCAATGCAGGCTGGGGGAAGAATGAAGAAGAGGGGACATTTGAGTTGTGGCATCTGACATCCCAAGTAACCCAAGTAACATGTGATAGACCGCTGCTTCCCTGGAGGTGGTTGAACAGCTGCCTGCCCATGGGAAGTGGTGTATGAATTCCATGTTTCACTTTGCCCATGTTGTTTTGATTGCTTTGGCTTTACCTATTAAGCTGTCTTTATCTGAACCCATGGGTTTTCTCTTTTCTGATTGTCTCCCCCATCCCACCGGGGGAGAGTGAACGAGAGGGTGTGTGGTGCTTAGTTGCCGGCTGGGGTTAAACCATGACACTGGGCAATGCATCTCTACTGGCTCCTTAAGCAAAGGAGACTCTGCTTCAGTGGGTATTTTTCACATCTTGAGTGTCTTATGTCAGAGAGAGCAGTATATACTTCTGGATGCACTGGACATTGCAAGGCATTAAAAACAAGCATTGAACTACAGTTGAGTTGCAAGAATAAACAGGAACTTGAAAGACGCTCTTGATCATTACAGGAAGAATGTATGTCCAGTTCTCCCCAGCCTGGGAGAAACCAGAAAAGTTGCAGAAATGAGGATCACTGGAGTTATGTGGAAGACACATTTCCTTTCAACACTCCTTATAGCACTTGATAAGGATCTGTGTCACACTTGGGGACATCCCAAATTTTTGAAAAACAATAAGGGTAGGACAAGGAATTTACATGAGTAACTCTCCTTTTCTCATTTACCAGGGCTGTCTTCCAGCCAGGGTTCAAATTTTTTCACGGTCTGCCAAATCTTTGCAAATGATCTCATGGACATGACCTCCCTTTCTTGGAGTCTTGCAGCTTCCCTCCAGCAAACACGGCAGGGACGGTATTGGGAAAGCGGTGATAGCTCTCCAACTGCTTTGCTGTGACTTTGGAAACTGGATGTGTAAATTTATGCTTCGTGCACAGTTGTCACCTCTGAAAAGTGAACAAAGGCAAACACAGGTACTAATTTTAGGCAGCCAGCCAACACAGTAGACAGTTGCCTAGGGCAGCAGACTGTTGAATGCAGCAGAATGCCAAGGCTGTACGAAGATGCAGACTTGCTGCTGCTGTGCTCCCCTCTGAGAAGGGAGCATTAGACATGAATCTGAGGGTTGAGATTCATGTCCCGTTTTCAAGCAACAGCTTACTGTTTAGCCCAGGTGATCCTCAGCACTGTGTGCAAGCATCAGACATGCAGTGCTCAAGCCAGTGTCCAATTCTGCTGTTTGAGTGATCCACACCCACTGGAAGGGGGGGGGGAAGGGGCTTTTTTCCACAAGAAGCAAGAGCAACCCCTGATTTTAGAGTTCTTTCTACTGCTCTTTCATCCCCTAGTGTAGCAGAAGTGGTCTGAGCTGGTGTGAGTGGGCTGCTGCAGGGGAGGGATGGTTTGGGGTGGGAGTCACTTGAGTGGTGAAGGGTAGACAGGAGTGATGGCCAGGAAGGGTGGCCTGTGGTGAGGTTGGGCTCTCCTACCTCATACTGCACTGACTCTCTTCATCCCAGCCCACCAGCAGCCCTGCTCCACCCCACCTCTCATCCTCACAAAATTTCACTGACTTCTCCCACCCAGCCCTGCTTTGGCAAACAACCTCACAAAGCTGTTTGAACCAGCCCTGCAGTTGGGCTTAAAAAATAACCCAGGCTTTTTATTTACAAAATCAAAAACTTGCTTTCAAGATTTTGGGGGCAAGTAGAAACAGGCGCAAGGAAAAGGGATAGACTGTATTCTTCGGACCACCAGCCAAGTGCTTTGCAGCTTTCGGTCTGGAAGTTGCTGGCTGAGGCTAAATCCCTCCAGCAATGCCTCACCTGCTATTATCACTTTATCTGAAGTCATAAACACAGCCAGTGAAGAAATAATTTCCAACACCTTAAAAAGGACTCGCTTCCATAATTCACATCTGAGCTCAGTGGCAGTCGCTTTCACCAGCAGCAGATTTTGGGTAGAATTCAGAGTTTCGGACCTTTCCTGATGAAGCAGCTCCTTTAGTTGCTGCCTTTGACAGGATATTAGGTTGGCTGGATAAGCGATCTTATCCCATACGGCAATACTTATGTCTCATGTTTCAAAATAAGATCATTGCCTTGCTTGTGCCTGTTGGCAGTCAGGTTGCTACTAGCAGTGTTCACAACACGTTGCTGTTGTTAATCATCGGCTGCCTGTGCATATTAATACTTAAAATGAGATATTTAATTAATTAATGCCGTGTGTTTCTGACCCAAGTTTCACGTGAGCGTCTCCCAGGCTGGAAAGGTTTTTGTTTCCACCATGCCGCAGTGCCGGTGATGGACCACCAGTGCAGCACGGCATGGTGCTGTGTCCGTGTTGTCCCATGGAGTGCTGCGACGGTGCACATGTGCTTGGAGAAGCTCACACAAACACGGACATTGACATCACCTGTATTTGTGGAACTGCCTCATCGGCTGGTGCTGTCTCACATTCCTGGCTGGGAGAGGCACCCGGGCGGCTCGCCATGGTTTACTCCTTTCTCAGAATCCGCGAGGAGACTTGCTGAGGGCAAAGCTTGGAGATGCACTTCTCCCATCATGTCATCTATTTACATGGTGCATGCCTTGTGTGTGTGTGTGTGTGTGTGTGTGTGTGAGACAGCATGGGCTTTTATTTTTTTCCCCCTGCCCTAGTTCTTCCTTCTGGCTGTGGTGAGATGGAAAGGTGGGAGGCTCTCATCTCTGCCAGCGAAAAGGTTTTCTGTATCTGAGGCTGGCTTGGAAATTCTTTAGGTGACATCACACCATGTCTGTGCAGACTCATTGTTTGTCATGGAAAAGCCATTCATCCATACACAACTTCCTTCCTCCCCAGACTCACGGAGATAAACTTTCCATTCTGTCTATTCCCTATAGAAACAGACCCAAAACATGTATGCGTGGCTACACACACATACACCTCGGCATCCCTCCGTCAGGCTCAGGGCTGTGGGAGGAGGAGAAGGGAGGATATAGAAGATGTGAATAAAGTCACCCTGTTTTCTTCAGACGTGGATCCTGCTGTGCCCAGGCAGTAAAACTCCCCTCACACCGAGGTTCTGGGTCACACAAGGCTTTTTTGTCCCGAGGCTAATTTTGGCACTTGCAGCCCCACATCTGCCTGCCAGGTGAGATGGGCCACCAGCTGCAGGTACAGCACATCTGGATGGGGGAGGAAGCGAAGCGTGCTGCAAACAAACACAGCAAGTCCACCGTGGCGGGTGCGAGGAATTCGATAAAAAATATACTTCAGCGGTCTGAGCTGCCGAGTCTGGTGATTCATGTCTCGGGTGCTGCTCATGAGGCAGACTGAAAGGCTGGGCACTTGCATGTCTTGGACCACGAACACCGTGGCCGCAGCCTGGGGGGGACCTGCAAGTTCAGCCTGCCTTTGGGGAGCCACTGCTGCAGGGCAGAGTTGGGGGGACACCAGGCCTGGTGTGGACACTGTGTGGGGCAGGAGGGGGGGGCATTTTTCCATGGCAGAGAGGTGGAGACCATGTGGCACAGGGTAGGACAGCGGGAAGCCATGTAGAGATGGAGGCAGCAGCAGTGGTGTGGATGGAGTGATAAGGTGGCTGTTTCCCTGCCGTATGAGGGAGGCAGGGTGTGAGGAGCATCTGTTACAAGTACCCGCACAGTGTGGGATGCCTGCGTTTGCCTTCTGCCGGTGTCTCGGGGAGACAGGGCTGAGGAGCTGCCGGTGGGTCGAGTGGGGAAGGGAGAGGTTGTTTGGACAAGAGGAGCCTTTGAAGCTTTTCTCCTGTCCACCTCCCCTGCCCATAAAGCCATTAGACTCCGGTGCCAGCCCTATCTGCGCTCGTCGCTGGCGGCGCGGCCCGGCCGAGCCTCGCAGACCCCCCACCCGGGGCGCGGGGCCGGGTCCGTGGCGTGAGCCCCCTCGGGAGGCCGTTTTGGGGAGGGGGCACAGCTCATTTCCGAGCCGACTCTGCATTACAAAGGCAGCGGGGCCAGCGCGGCGCTTTGATGTGCCCCGCCGGCTCCCGCACACCTGCGGCCGCGGGGTACCCGGCACCGGCGGGCGCGCCCAAGGCGGGGGCGCCCCGAGGGCTCCGGGAGCCCCTCTCGACGCCCGTCGGGGCGAGAACAGCCCCGGGCGGTGCCGGCGGAGCCCCGGCAGCGCGGCCCCTGCCCCGGGGCCGGGGGCGGGCGGGAGGCAGGGCCGCCGCCGGAGCCCCCGGGAGGCGGCGGCCGGGGGAGGGTCCTGCGGGGTGGGAGGGGGCGGCAGCCGGGCTGTGCTCGCCGCGCCCCCGCCGCACGCAGGCCCCGCTCCAGGGCTTCTTCTCGGCACTTCTCCGCAGGGCGCCCCGTCCCGGCGGCCGGCTCGGCGGGGGCTGCCCCCGCAGCCCACCATGACCGGGCCGAGGCTGGCCCTCGCCGCCGCGCTCCTCTGCAGCTGCACCTCGCCGGTGGCCGACGCCAACTCCTGGTGGTAAGTGAGGGGAGCCGGCGGTGCCTTTGTCCGCCCAGGGCCGGGGTCCGGGGACCGTCCGGGGCGGTGCGGCAGCTCCCTGCCCTGCGCTCTCCGCGGGAACTTCCCTGCCTCCCGGGCTTCTTTCGCAGCAGCTCGCTGCTTTCCAGGTTCCCCCCCACCCCTCCCACTGTCCCTGCCCAGTTTCTGGAGACGTGGGACGCAGCCCCTCTCCTTCCAGGCATTTCTGGGCTCCTTTTGTACGGGCTCGCTCAAATGCCGTCCGGGCTTTAGGATGTGGGGAATGCGTAGGGAGTGGATGGGTAAGGTTTCCTACCCGCTGCCAAAAGCCCTGGGAGCAGCCGCGGAGCCCCCTTCTCCTGAAGAGCGGAAAATAGCCTGGCTGGAAGGCAGGCATCGCTCGCTGGCGCTCTGTAAAAAAGCTACTCGCTTTCTTCTGCAGAGAAAGTGCTGAGCTTTCTCTCTGCCCCCTCCCCATCCCGGGTGTCCTCTGTGTTTAAACTCGAGTTACAAACGAGCTGTGTTTCTCCCGCTAGAGCCCTGGAAAAGCCTCGCATCTGGCAGAGCCGTGGAGGGAGGCAGCTGACATGAGAAATGCGCCCGGGCTCCGGGCTGGGCTGGGCTGGGCTGGCGGGGAGAAGTGCCGGGCGCTTCGCGAAGGGGGCCTCTCCCTCCAGACTCCCTGGGATGTTTTTCTCATCGTAGGTCTTTGGCCATGAACCCCATCCAGAGACCTGAGATGTACATCATCGGCGCTCAGCCGGTGTGCAGCCAGCTGCCGGGGCTCTCCCCTGGGCAGCGCAAGCTCTGCCAGCTCTACCAGGAGCACATGGTGTTCATCGGGGAAGGGGCCCGCAGCGCCATCAAGGAGTGCCAGTACCAGTTTCGGCAGCGGCGGTGGAACTGCAGCACGGTGGACAACACCTCCGTCTTTGGGAGGGTCATGAAAATAGGTAGGAACACCTGGTAGAACATTAGTACACCTAGTAGTTAGTGCAGGGAGGTGCTGGGTGCAGGCCGGGTGTCACTCTGCACCTCTCTCCCTTCCTTCAAATACACATGCAGGAGTGAAGAGCCCCATTAGTACCAGCTCCTAAAGCTGCCTTTAACGAGCTTTTCCATTCCCTGGTGTGCTGGTGCTGCCCGCACGCTGCCTGTGCCTGGGCGGGTGGCACCAGTGCACCTGAGCCACACCAGGAGCCAGCGGGGGGCGAGGGGGGACACACTTTCTTTTGGGGGAAGCAGGGGACGGTCAGGAAGAGCGGGGCGTCTTCTGTTTTGAGTGGTTGTTTAAAGGTAGCGAGAGAAGAAGCTGGAGCCAGGAACAATGGCCCCGCGTTATCATTACCAGCATCTTGAGTACCCTGGGACAGGGAATGCAGCCCTGAGAAGTGGGAAATATGGGCTCCCCTGGCGTGGGAGCTCCCCCCCTTCCTTGTACTACCACTTTCTGTGTAAACCTAAGCGATTTTTATAATTCCTGCCCTGCTGGCCCTAAGAGGCACATTGACAGGCCATTGCTGCACTTGAATTGAGGTGTGACCTAGCTACATTGTCCCAGCTCCTTTTGAAATGCAATCATCTGATGGCAAGAAACTGAGAAATCCGGGCTCGTTTTGATGTGTCCGACAGCCAGGACAATAAGGAAAAGGTGTTAAAACAGACACACACACACACACACACACACACACTCACTCTCCACAACCCCTGTCTGAAGAGGTTTTCTTTCCCACCCACAAAGCCAATCATTTACACCGAAGAACCAGCAGTGTTTCTCGGTTGTGAGGTCAAGGAAAACACTTAGCAAGGGATGGAAAAAGACCTTCAGCTCCTGAACCCCTAGCTGCCCCCAGCATTGCTCTCACTTTTTTGGTTTAACTCTGAAAAAAACTGCATAGGCAGCAAGGCACCAAGAGGTGCATCTTTAATACCTCTGGGGCGTCAAGGTGATAGGGCAACAAGTCCTGTGATCCCTTCCATCTGATCCTGAAATTCTTATACGTTATCTTAGAGAACTCTAGGGATATTTCTGCATTTGTTACTCAAATCTTTCAAAATTCCTAATTCAGCCCACCAGAGCCATTCTAATTCTTCCCTTTCTGCCTAGCCCACACCCTAACAATTCTTCTCTGGGGTACTCCCCTGGGAAATGCCATTTCCTGACACATACTTCTAGTTCCTGACACACATCCAAGGCATCTGTGCATCCTTGATCTCTTGCTTTCTGATAGCAAGGGTGGTGGCCACATGGGGCTGCATGCAATCCCAGATTGTTAAAACTTGTGCTTTGGGGTATGAAAACTGAAATTTCAGCCACCAAAGGGAAAGGACAGAAAATAGACCTCCATCTCTCCTTTCTGGTGTCCCTCCCTCACACATAACTTACCCTGAAGAATGGGGTAAATTTCAGATCCCCAAAGAGATACTAGTGACTCCACAAGGATGCAAGAATATAGCAATCTCCCCTTCTGGAGCAAGCCTCATTCTCTTCTTCAGTATCTTCCTGCAACCCTGGGTTGCTCCAGTGGGAGAGTCCACACTTGGAAAAGTAAGGGTGAACTAAGAGAAAGCAAAGATCAGATCTGAAGGATGAGAAGCTGTTAGGAAAGATCAGAGTGTGTACAGGAAGAAGGGATAGTGGAAGTTGGAAGATTTCTCCTCTTTAAAATGAATTTGATCCTATTTGTTTAGATGGGGAGTGGATTTGGGTTTTGATGAAGGCAGGAGGTATTGTGGGTATGTGACAGGTATGACCAGAAGTCCTGCTTGATTTATGTGTGCTGCATGTTTGTTGAGTCCTGTTGTATGTCTCTTAGGAATCTACTGATGGCAGTGTCTGTGGGCCAGGAGTTGCCCACTGTTTAAAAACCTGTCCTAACAGAGTTTTGAAACCATCTCCTTTAGATTCTCTGGGCACTTAGAGTATGTTCAGATGTTTATACTCCAGCACAAGGCAGCACAGCAATAAGAAAACTGTCACCAAAGGTGGCCTGGGGTATTAGGGGATCCATGATTCATCGCTGTTGCCTGTGTCAGTGATAAGCTGCTGTGCTGCCTCAGTTCCACCTCCTGCTTTTGCATTTTTCTACTTTGCAATGAGTCATTGCTTATCATTTCAGCAAATCTATTTTCCACACTGGGGAAGAAGACAAAGCCTTTCAATCTCACGTTGTGTTAGCTATAAAGTCATTCTTCCCTGGGTTCATACTGTGTGTCTGTCTCCTGCTTTCAACTTCTGAGCCCCAAATCTGGACCACAGCCCTTTTTCTGTACTCTGTGCCAACGGCACGAGAAAGGTCTGGAGACCAGAATATCTGCAAGAGTGCACAGGCATGCCAGATTGTTGTGGAGAGGGAGGTGAAAGGCGATAAGAAGGACCCAGAAGGTGTGTAATGTGCCAGCAGCCCTCGGCTGCCCACCCACCGATGCAGGCATGGCATATATTACATGATTTCTTGAGCTGCTCTAGATTGTGAGAGGGGAGGAGAACCTGACCTGGCCAAGTCCAAAGCCTGGGAGATCCTCGCGAGAGCATTCACTCAGAAACCTGGAAGATTAGTTTCCTTTCCCCCTCGCAGAACTTGGCTTGGCTCAGAAACAGGAGACCCAGTCGGTCTGTGTTTAATCATTACACCTTCATTTTCTGTGTTCCACAGAGGTGAGGCAGTCCAATGATACCAAGCTTTTGTAGAGGGATCCACAGCACTGAAGTAGGCTGCTTTTCAGCATTACTTCCTCCTACTGCTTGTGTTGTTAGGAGAGTTGCTCTTACCTTTTAAATGTGGTTTATTCAATAATTATATCTGATGTACAAATATTATTCTTCTGAAGCTACTTCTTGTTCTGTCAATACAGATTTTAGACTGCACATGTGTGTGTGTATATATATATATATATATTATGCATTATATACAGACATTCCTTACTGCTACATTTATGAGGGGGAGAGGACAAGAACACCCCAAAAGGTCATGTTAGAATTTCCTCAGGGGAGGAGAGAACAGATCTCCCTCTGAGTAATCCTAAATGCAAGGCTGGGGTTTCCAGGTTAGTCCAGTCATTTCTGGAGCCAGAGATCTTATCTCTTCAGCCTTTTCAAATGCTAAAAGAAGAAAAAAAAAAAGAGTCATAAAACCAGAGAACAAAGAGAAATATTTTTTTCTTTGTTTTTCTTCGAGATTGGCAAACTTTAGGGTAACGCTTTTTTAAAAAATCAGTTGAAGCTAAATCTTTTTCATCAAAAAAGTTAAACTGACACATTTTTACCATCTTTGTGTCAGTCTCCCCACTGGGTTCGTTCTTCCATTTCCTTCTCGAGCAGCTCCAGGGAAGGGAGCCGTAGGGACCGAGCCCTTGCCTGGGTGCTGCCCACGCCGGATCCCGCCAGTGCCCCCCAAGAGCCGCCGCAGCCCCCAGGTTCCCCGTTCTGCTGCCAGCGGCGGGCGGGCACAGGAGGGCAGCAGAGCTCCGTGGAGCTCCAAGCCGGCGGGCAGAGCCTCCCGGGGCCCGCAGCCCCCGGCGTCGGCCCCGGCAGCCCGGGGTGACTCTGATCCAGCGCTCAGGAGAGCTCAGCAGAGGTGTGGAAAAGGGCAGAACAAATCTGGGAACACTCCAGTCCTGTGAGACGACAGCACAGAGGTGTGGAACTGGAATGAACTGGAATGAGAGGACCAGCAAAAACCCAAATACTTTTCAAAGGCTGGAAGGCACGGCAGGAGAGCAGAGAAAACTTGGGTGTATAAGCCCTCAATTGTCAGCTACAAATTTGGTTTGTATTAACACAGGCTTTTATCACATCTGATCCTGCCTTCCAGGCCAAGCCATGATCTTCCAAACCTACTACCGAAGTCGAGTGAGCACTGTGGTTTGTTCTGCTTTGTGGACAGCACCTGAAAAAA